TTTTTAATTGACAGGATATTTTTTTATAAAATCTTATTTTCTTAACATAATTAATTAATCCTCATCTACTTTTAGAGTATTGTAGATTTTATTTAATTATATCTATACAGATCTCTTTTTTTGTATAAATTTTGATTATTATTTTAAGGTATAAATTACTTACCTAAAATTAAAAGTACCAGCAACTACAATAAATATAAGTACATCATTTTTATTTATTAATAAGATATGAATCATAAAATATTATTATATTTAATAATAAGGATTCCATAAATGAACAATAAGTGGATAATAAGATTTTTAATGAAACATCAAGTGAATTTGATAAAATTATAAAAACTAATTTTATTAAAAAAATTAACAAATATATATAAAAATATAAATGATTTTGATATTTGCAATTAATATGTATAAAATAAATTAGATATTCTAATAAATGATTGGGGGTTAAATAATTGAGGAATGTTTAAAAATAAATTTATTTTTATAATAATATTAATCAAATAGATAAATTAACTTAAAACTATGATTGAAAGATGTATTTTCTTGACTGAGTCAAAGGAATCTGTGTGATAAGTTTTTTTGGCAATTATATATAGGCAGTGGACCTTATTTGGTTGAATATTTGAGGGTGTATTAGATATAAGTATGGAATATTTTGTATGGGTATAATTTTGATGATTTTTGTTTCAGTGATGTTGTAGCAATCTATGTTTCTGAATAATTTCTGGGTGAAAGTAATTTAATGATATTATGTACTACTATTGGATTAAATGTTGAGTTTTTTTATTTTAGAGAATACCCATGTAATTTAATTGAAGATCAGTTGAGGTTAGGAAAATAAATTGTTGTCTATTATATTGTGTTATTGTTGTTTTTCAGATAAATTTAGCGTATGTCTTGCATTTCCGAAATTATTTATCAAAGAATTTTATAAAAGCTATCTATATCTATATGTTAAGTAAAAAAAATGCTATCTATTTAAATTACAAAAATGTCATTCAATACTAATGAAACTTATATGCAATTTATTTATATATTTTTTAATAAATTTGTTGTTCCGCCATATAAATCTAGGCTGATTTTTTGTTAAAAAAATGATGTCTACATTTTGTAGATAACTGAAAACTATTTTTTGAATCAAAATATATTTCTTTATAAAAATATTACTGTACATATGACTAACATTTAATATTAAAAATCCCTAGCTAGGTTCAAGCCCATAATATTTGAAAAAATTTCCAAGCATTCAAGACCTTAATAATTGTAAAAAAATTTTTTCAAACCCAGCTCAATCCTTAATAATTTTGAAAACCAAGCCAATATTAATTTTGAGGAATATTTTCTAAATCCAGTCCAACCCATAATAATTTTAAAAATATTTCCCAAGTCCGGAGAAATTACTCTAGTTAATGAAGGGGAAATCTCCGATTTACCAATTAGTCTACGGGTTAACTCCTAGTATACATATAAAAAACACGTGAATTCATAATAAGGGAAACTTGGAAAGCCTGGGCAAACCACTTATCAGAGAATCATTACAAAAACAGGTCTGCCTAAATATTATTATAAGAAGTAACAAATCTTACTTCGTTTTATTGGAGATAACTCCAAAAATTAAATTATGGAGAGAAATTGTGTTCACTGCAACAATTCTAACAATTTATTTTTTATAGTTCTTAAATGTTTGCATCATTATTTGTTATCCATGAAATAAAAATAAATAATTCTTTTACTTTTTTGTATTATGATTAAGTTAATTATTATATTTTGATTTTATAAATTAATAAAAATCTTTTAAAAAAAATAAATCTTGAAATTTAAATGACGATTGATCTATTTAAAAATAAATTAAATAAGAAAATTAACTTTGAATATTGTAATATAATTGATATAATGAAAATAGTATATATAATATTACTAATTAGTATATTGAAAAAGGGAAGGAAGGGGGGTAGGAGACATCGTTGTGCTAAATCCCTAACACATTGAAAAAAATGAAAATAGCTACCCTTTGTAAATGATATTTATAACATATAGCTTTATGATTAATGTATAAATATTCACAGAGTATAAAAGGTTATTATTATATTTTGATTTTATAATTAATAAAATGTTTTTTTTAAAAAACAAATAAATCTTGAAATATTTATTAGAGTATAAAAGGTTATTTTTATATTTTGATTTTAATAATATAATAATTTTTTTTAAAAACTAAATCTTGAAATTTATATATTTAAAAATAAAATTAATTTTGAATAATAAAAATATTATGTATCATTTTATATTTTACATTTATAATTATTTTCACTAATAGCAGCTTCTTGAGTAATAATAGTTTTGACTGTTGATATTTTATTGAATAAATGTATTTGTTTGAATGGTAGCTTTATAAAATATTAATGATAATATGAATAATTTGAAATAAGGTATATTTAATGCATTACTTTGACATCCAATACTTGCATAAGTTGTAAAATTTTGAGATAAATTAAAAGAATATTTAAGGTTTTATTTTGGCATCCTACAGTTGCATAGTTAACAGAATTATAGGCTCATCTGTTTGTATAGATATTGAAGAAAAAAAAAGTCAACAAATAAAGCGATAACATGATGTAGAGATGACATGGTCACGATGACGTAGTGAGGACAGAAATTATAATATAGATAAACTACTACACAATTGACTTACAATCATATGCTCTCAGCAGCTGTATAATCATAAATTACATAGACACACAAATAATAGATTCTGGGTGATTTGCAGTCATAGCCATGAAACTCACGATGTTAAATTATATCAGAATTTTTATGTTAGATAAATTGATAAAACAAAAACCAATGTTATATATATCATTGACAAAAACACTAAAAATCTTTAGAAGAAATTATGCAAATATATTGAAGCCTAGAGTATTTTACACGGCAAGGATGCCATATTAGAAATGAAACATTTTGCAAATTAAAATAAGAACTAGAGTGATATGATGAAAGCAATTAAGATTTTATATATTATTGTCTCACCAGTCACCACCTATAGTTAGTATATTATAACTTATAATAATGGTAGTTTGTAATAATATCAAAAATATACTCGTATTAAAAGTTTAACTCAAAATTGTTATTCAAAGAAGAAAAAATTAGCTTTCCTGAAAACAGGCAAAGAAAGGAAGATATCTAATATATTACATTACATCCATTGCTGGATGAATAATAAGATATTTTATTTTTAATAATATATTTTAATAAATAGATGGTGTTAAAGAATTAAATGCCAATTCTTACTTATATTTATTACCAAAAGAATATATTAGTAAAATTTATTATTATATTAACTATGATATATTATATAACTGTCAAATGCGTTTGTAAAAGTGGCATTTTACCTAATATTTTATAAACCACTAAATAGAGGATTATAAACTTTATGTCTACTTTCTTTTATAAAGACTCTTATACTTATTTGGACCTTGAAAATATTTTTAAGAAGAGGCATAGTAATTAAATTTAAAAATGATTAATATAGTTGATTAGCGATTTTGAACTCGGTTAATTACAATATTAAATTTGTTAATTTTTAATTAATAAATGATTACATTTATTTAATTAGGGTTATATAATAATTTAAATAATAAAAGTCAATTAAGCTTCAACTGTTAATGCTAAATATATATTTAGTTAATGATATTTATATTCTATTTTTAATACAGAATTTGATTGAAAAGCAGACATAGTGAAAATATAATTTATATGTATTAATCTAATCTAATAATTAAAATAGTATACATTTAATAAAAATTTAGATAGTCTTATTAATTTTTAATTAATAAAATTAAATCTATATATTACTTAATAGAATTATAAAAGAAATCGCTCAGTGGACAATCAAAAAAAAATTATTTTTAGTTCAAGGGGATATTAAAGAGTCATTAAAAAAATATTTTTTTCTTCAGGAGGCTATTCAAATTTTTTAGAGGAGAGCCCCAGCTAGCCCTCCCCTAGTGACGCCACTGATATTACATAAAACCTATCTCCATTTAAGTGTCGCTTTTATTATTGGTGTCCAATGATTTTACACTCTTTCATAATTTTTATTTTTTACCAATTAAGATTGCACAATCGCCCCACAAAACAAAAGTTAATTGGTTCATTTATTTATCATCAATGAGTCCATTAATATTGTAATATCATATAATACAAATAAATATATGTATACAATACAAAACATTTATATAAAATCAGAACAAATAATGCACAAAATAATAGAACAACAGTTATTAAAAAGATAAAAAAGTTTTTTTAACTTAATTAAATAAGTGATATTAACTTTTGTTAAAAATCGGTATCTTTTAAGTTTATGATAAATAATTAAAATTGCATTTCAGTAAATAATTTTGCAATTAAAACAAGAAACCACTTTAAAAGTATAAATAAGAAGTTGAAGCAAGGGGATGAATATTTTAAGGGCAAGAATTAAAATAAACAAATGTGTTATTAAAATTCAAATAAAATAATGGAGTATGAATAATAGAACGTTGTTAGTAGTGTTGTTAAACGGCTCGTTTTGAGCCTATTTTAAAAACGGCGAACTCAATATTTTATTAAGAATAATATTTTGGAAGCCTGAAGCTTTTGTCTTTATGAGGAACAAAGTGATATCTATTAGGTAAATCTCGATGGGCAATATTTTTCTGGCTAAAATAATGAGTTAACCATTTTAAAAATCGGCTCAAAATGAGCAGTTTAATAACACTAGTCGTTAGCTTACAAATTTTATATCAGAAAATTTACCAAAATTTTATTTAACATATAATAAATACTCTTAGTATTAGGAAAAATTATCGTGTAAAATATCGATTGTATGCATGTACCGATAAATTACTGAGATACTAATCAGATCGAATAAACTATTGTACAGCACCATAATGAAGACTAAATTGTGTTTTTTTTTGTTGGCATATAAAATTCCTGAAACAATCGAATCACTATTTCTTGCCTAACTCGCTCGTGTTATCGGTCATCAACATCCATCCACAAATATTTATCTAAAAAATCAAACATTGTATGAGTTCAGATAATAAACTAATTTAATATTCTATAAATTAATGGTTTTATCTATTCGACAAAAAGAAGAATTGTAAGATATACCTTTTTTATATATCGTAAATATAAAACATTTAGAAATTTATCTATAGCAGAATACCTAAATTCCAATGGGTTTTTTAACACACTTGCCGAATTTTGTAAAGAGGCTCAAGTATAATTTTGGATCCTAAATTTAAAATTTTTTTTTATTAGATTAATGATGGGGAGTCTAATAAAAAATTTAATGGGTTATTAGAAAAGAAATGGTCATCTGTTGTCAGATTACAGAAGAAAGTTATGGATTTAGAGTTAAAATTAAATGAAGCAGAAAAGGAATATATAATAGGTGCACCAACAAGAGATAAAAGAAGTCCATTAGAATGGATTCCTAGGCCACCAGAAAAATATGTATTATCAGGCCATAGGGCACCTGTGACTAAAGTACAGTTATACTATTTGACAATCTTCAAAAGGATACATTTTTTAAAATATGCAGGTTCTGTTTCATCCACTATATAGCTACATTGTCTCATCCAGTGAGGATGCTACAATTAAAATATGGGACTTTGAAAGTGGGGAATTTGAAAAATCCCTTAAAGGACATACTGATTCTGTTCAAGATATTGCATTTGACAGTTTAGGAAAGCTCCTAGGTAAAATTTATTGTTATATATAATTGATAATTATGAAGAAAAAATTAATATCTATGAAAATATGTTTACTAAAGTGGCTGGGCAGAAATTAAGGAGTCAGAAAAATAGTATAATATTAATTCTTTATGATAAATTTTTTTTGTCTATAATATCTTTTTCCATACTCCAGAGTTGTATCCTCTAAACCTTTAAATAATAATTTTAATTTGGAAAGTATTTTTTTATAGCTATAATATTTTAACTGAAGTTAAGTTTACAAATATGATTATAAATTTGGTTAAGTAAAATATGAATTAATTTAATTTTGAAAAGTATTTTTTATTACTAAATTAATCTTTAATATTTTAACTGAAGTTAAATTTAAATGTATGATTATGGTTGTCATATATGAATTATTATTTATAATGACCTATATTATTATCAAGAGATTGGCAAATCCCAGCCCAAGTTGGCCCCATAAAAATATTTTGTGCAAGTTGCCTGGCTCATAATTTTTTTGTAAAATTTCTCCAACCTGGCCTATTTCAGGCCTGGCCCTTTAAAATTTTGCTAAAAGTCCAACCCAGCCTGTTAAAAGATTTTTGTACAAATTTTTTGGCCATTACACTTTTAATTTCTATATCTAATTTCTCCCCTATATCAATTAAAACTTATATCTCTCCTCTATGGCTACTTATTTTACAACCATTTTATAAATCAATTGTTAACTTGTTTAATTTTTTGTAAATTATTATATTTATAGAATCAATATTTAGTTAGACAGGTTATAAAATATAAAGAAATAAGAATAATGTAATTTATTTTAAACAGTATAATCAAAATACTAGATTTAATATTAATTATTAGTTTGAAATATATATCAAGATTTTAATGCCCAGGGTAGCCTATTAAAATTTTACATAAAATCAGATTTGTGAAGACCTGCCCTATTTTTTATGTATATCTAGCCCAGCCAAAAAAATTTATGTATGAATTGCCTGGCTCATTATATTTAGCCACCATTTTAGTCCAAGATGCATCTATACCACTCTTTAGCATACCAAAAAAATATATCATAATTCCCCCAATATTTTTTATTATTAAATATCATAAAATTATCTTTATGAAACTTATATTTATTTTCTTATATATGGTTGGCCTTCATAATAAAGTATAAATCTCAACAAAATTTAAAAGTAAAAATAAATATGGAGAAAAAATTAACAAACTTTGGAAAATGTTAAATCAATTCATGGCTCAATGTACGACAATTTATTTTTTCAATCTTTGAGGGATATTAATAAAAAATTTAAACAGTTAAAAATTAAATTTATGATAATGAAAACGTTGCAAGAAAAATATTTATGGGTTAATAACATTTATATTTTCTCCACAAAATACTTTTTTTCACCCCTAGTTAATTATCATTGGGTATTGACCATTGGTATTGAGCCAGTATCATGATCAGTATTAGTGTATCTTTTATTATTTGATTTCTTTTTTTTTATTTATAACTTTTTCAAATTTAAATAAATTATTTTATTCAAAATCGTTTGGTGAGTTGGTGATTGTTTGTGTGGGCCTTCTTTATAAAAAAAATTATTAAAAATTACAATTCATTTCAACAAGTATATGAAATTTTATATTTAAAATAAAGATAATAAGACCCAAAAGCTGTCCCACTTTCTTTACCCCTTCTAAAACGAATATTTAAAATTTGACTATTTTATCATTTTAAAATAAAAAAAATTAAGATTAGATTGCAAGAGTGGGTGATAATTTTTATACAGTGCTAAACAACGTTTAGGTTTGCACCGAACCAGGATGGCTTGGTCTTTAGAATATTAATGGCTTTTACTCTTAGGTTTAGGTTTTGTGAACCAAAAGAAAAATTACATATTTTTTTTATTATATAATTATATTATCTTTTAAATAATTATCAAATTTAATATAAGCAATTCAATCAATATCCGTTCCTTGTGAACGATTATTTCCCAAATATGTGACTTAGTGGCAAAGAAGTAAAATAAATTATCAAGAAACAATTTCTTAAGTTACGTTAATGCGTAAAAATGGAATTTATAAATAAAAAAAATTCCCATTTATTAAAACCAAGATATCATTAGGGGTTATAAGCTTAGTCTTTTTAATTTTAGGGTGATAAAAAGCATAAATTTTTTGTTTATTTAAAATAATGGTAATTAATTTTTGAGCAATTATAAATTCACTTAAAAATAAATTTTTTAAATAATATTAGGGATACTCAAAAATGAAGAATTTATGTGGGGTGCTAATATTTATTCTAGGGGAAATGATTGTTAATTTTGTTGTGTTTATTATCATATTTAATTAATTTTAATATTTGCAAAATAAATAAAAAATTTCGATTTTTGTAATAATGACTTTGTTTTATTTTAGTTATTAGAACCCATAGTAAAAAACCGGGTCCAAATTACCGTTCAGATTTTTATTTATATCATGATTATCGGTCGGGTTCGATAATTTAATCTTCACCCTAATCTTTCAGAGATACAAAAAATGATCCTTTCTTACCGAAAATCGAATTACCGATCTACCATGCTTCACTTGATATCGTCCATTTCATATATCTTAACCCTCCGAGTCACAGCTGCCATTTTTACCAAGCGATACGTATTTTTTTTATGAATATCATTTTTCTTGCAAGTGGGTAAGTTACTTTTTTTAGAAAACAGTATTTAATTCGGATCGCATTAAAACAAATGTATCTTTGATTCCTGTATATTTATTCGTTTATATGATTGTTTCCAAATTTATTTTTCATATAAAATTAAAAGAACAGGTCATGATTGTTTCCAAATTTATTTTTCATATAAAATTAAAATAGCAGGTCGGGCTAGATGAATTTTTTGAAAATTCGGACCTGGTAAGATAAGATCTCTTCTCTTGCAAATCTCTGATAATAATATTTAAAACAAGAATAGTAAATTGTTAAAAGATAGTTATAAACGTAAACAGAGCCCTCTATGCCCTTCTAAGCCAGTGATGTTTAGACCCTCCCCCCTTGCCTATAACAGAAAAGGATATTCTATTATTCAATATATACTGATTGACTAATAGGGCATCCTCTAAAACTTCAATGACGCATGCGCGTTGTAGCTTCATGTTATAGGGCCCTGGAAGATAAACAATCATTATTATTTAAAAAAAATTAAAGATGTCTTTTGCAACATCCTCTTTCCTTAAAAAAACTTGTTTTAAATGATGTAGCTGAAGCTAGTTACTTCTTTTCGCAATCATTATCTCGACAATTAAGTTATTGGAATTTTAATTAATTAAAATTTGCGAAATCCTGGGAGCAGTGGCGTAAAGAGGGGAAAGGGAGTCTAGGCCAACCGCCCCTTCCCCAAGCAAAATATGATTAAGTAAAATTCTGTCTTCATAATATTTTATATTGATATCTAGTAGGAAAAAATAGCTTTTATTTCTTTAAAATTAATAAAACCCTCATCCTTAATTTTCTATTTCTATAAAATCATCTAAAATTTTTTATTTATATATTTAAAAAAGTGCGTGAAAACATATGCGAAATAAAAAGACTATAATGGTCACATTTAATTATTTAATAAAATTTACACATTAAAAAAAATTGGGAAACGGGACGCTTCCTGAAGACGCTACGATTCGTGATCGACTCGTGACCTTCTTAGTATTAAGTATTAGTATTACTTTACTAATTAATCGTATAACCTTAGCGCTTGAAGGTAATGAATCATTTATTGTAATGGTTTTCAATTTCACCATTAGTTATGCAAAATCACTCGATTCGAACCAATTTATAAAAATGACTAACTCAATATTTTAATTGGAAAAATATTAGCTAGGCCTCGACAATACGCTAATTGATGTCCAAACCTTTTAGCCATCTTTGAGCAAAATCTCTAGGCTTGCGTAATTTATTTTTAAATAAAATATTGAGTTAGCCGTTTTTAAAAATCGGCTCAAATGGAGCTATTTGCAACACTCTTTCACCATAACCAATTCATTGTTATCACATTTTTAAAAGATGCCACAAATCTTTTTTGATTATTTTTTTTATGCTACCGCTACTAAATTATAAAAGTATCCACGCTACACCAGTATTAATAATATTAATTTTTTAAAAAATATATTTCAGAATTCAATCTAATGATAAGCCATTTCAGATATAAAAAAAATTTATTTTTAATTAAAATTACTTTTATTACCTCTATATTATTTGTTCTATCATGAATCTTGATGCCAATTTTGGTAATTTTGCTAATAACTTTTTATTTGTTGACTTACCATCATTAATTTATAACCTATTATTAGTAATTTAAAATCATACAAATACAATAATAAAATCTTAGAGATAAGATATAATAATAATTATACAAATAAAGATCCTAAAAAAATGGAGCCCAAGCCTCCAATCCCTCCCCTTCCACTTATGAAAATGTCTTCCACAACGTTTTCTCAAGAATCCTGAACCCGAAATCTCATAAAATTAAATATTCCTCAGAAATTTAATTGATGGATAATATTTAAATGCCTCACTTGACCTAAGCGTTCATTTAACGATTTCGCACATTTGCGATATCTTTTAATATTGGTTGATGATTATTTAATGAAATGTTTCACCGATTATATAATTTATTTGAATAAAATATTAATAAAAATAGAGTGAAACTTCTATAATATATCCCCTCGAAGATTATGGTTTCCCTGTTCAATATATACAATTTGATGGAAAGATTTTTTTTTATTAAAAGTTTGACCGGTTTAAACCAAATTATAGGAACCAATCTAGATAAGATTAAATATGCTTTACTATATCATTTCATTTTATAACAACCCCCCCCCCCCACTTTTCCCCTTAACGATAGCGTCATGTTCGGCCGATATGAGTATTAAGATTTGGGATTTTCAATCATTCGAATGTGTTAGGACGCTCCAAGGGCATGATCATAACGTATCGTCGATTACGTTTACTCCTAATGGTGACTACTTGTTATCGGCTTCTAGGGACAAAACCGTTAAAATATGGGAAGTTAATACGGGGTAAGATTACCATCATTATTATTATATATTAGAGAGTAAAATATAGTGTTGTTATTAACGGCGATTTGAACTGATTTTTAAAAACGGATAACTCAATATAAAATATTACGCAAGGCAAAATATTTAAAAATCAGCTCAATTCGAGCCGTTTAACAACACTAGTAAAATATATAATAAACAGAGATGTATCGATTCCAAATATCAGTATCGGTTCATTACTCCTATTTCTATTTTTAGTTAATGCTAAACCAATTTGGCACTAAAAAATATATTTCCTTGCAAAATACAATCGATAACTTTTTATAATTTATCATAAATAGTACCTTTTTTAAACATTTTTTATTTTATTAAATTAAAGTCTTTTTTTAAAAAAAAATCCTTTCTCATGCTTTCTTGTTTATATTTTTCGTTCCTATTATAATCATTTATATTGTCTGATTTAATCTTTTCTAAAAAAAGATAGAAATAAAGAAAGTTACTTTTTTTGGTAAATATTATATATAAGTATTGGTTCCGAGAAATGGCATTTAATTCTTATCTAGACTGACGATTCATTCATTATGCACTTTGAAAGGTCGTTGAATACAAATCAGCTGGTGGCGCACCATTTTGGTTTCCCAAATAATTTTTTTTATATTATTATTGATTTTAAAAAAATGTTTTCATAAAATTTTAAGATAATTTATATGGGAAACTAAAATGGAGTACCACCAGCTGTGTATTGATATCCATTTTAAATGAAAGAATCTTCAGCCTAGATATCATATATCATTGGTTTCAGGTATTGGTATCAAAAAAGATGGCATTGGTGCATCTCTAATAATAATAATATATTTATTTTTTATAGATACTGCCTTACGACTTTATACGGTCATAGAGAATGGGTCAGGTGCGTCAAAGTTAGCACGGATGGGTCGCATTTTGCTACTTGTTCCAACGATCAAGTATTTTTTTACCTATAAATTAAATATTCTTCTTCTCCAGTTAATGATTGTTTTCTAAACTCTAATTCCCCTTCTCCATTTTTGGCGGTTCTTAGCATCGCTATTTGCGAGATCCATTTTCCTCATATTGTCCCTTGCAATTTTTATCCATGTCATTTTTGGGCCTTCCTCGTGGTCTTGATTTCCTTACTTCCAGCCCGTTCTTCTTTCACTCTAATTTTAAGGTCTGTAAATAATTCTACAAAAGTTATTACAATGAATCATTTAAAAATATGCTTCCCTTTTAAAATCTCATTTTATAGAAAAGTTTGGTCAATTTATATTTCATTTAGGAAATTTTTTATAAAATTCTGGAGAAGTGAAAATTATCACCAATTCACAATTTTCATTAAATAATACATAATATGTCGATTTTTAATTCACATCAAAATGTTAATGTGATTTTTCTTTAATTCAATATATAACACAGACTATACGCATTTGGACATTTGGATCAAAAGAATGTAAGGCAGAACTGAAAGACCACGACCACGTGGTTGAATGTATAATATGGGCCCCTTTAAATTCGTACAAATATATTCAAGAAGCTATTTCCAATTCAAATTTGGAGCCAATCAAAGTTGCTGTTTTTTAAAATCATATTTTGAAAATAATACCTAAAGTAAATAAATTGATAATGTTTCAAAATAAACGAAACCGAAATAATCGTGTTTCGTTTCTAGTCTTATTAAACTGCCAGATTTTTAAAAAAGCTAACCCAAAAAAAAATATTATGGAGATCTTGTTAATAGATGGCAGAAAGATTTAGACAGCTATAAACGAAATCTCGAAGCTTGCATAATATTATTTTGGCTAAAATCTTAATTTCAAAATGGGCGAAATCGAGCCGTTTAACAACACTCTCCATTCCCCTCTTATTTTATTATATGGTCTATAACGCTAAAAATAACTTAGCCCCTCATTTAAATGTTGTAAAAACTTCGATTTAATTTTTTTTTTTTTTAAAAAGTCTAAATAAATATTTGTGCCAAAAAATATTACCAAAGTCTCACGATTTCGTTAAAGAAGCCTAAACCCTTTCTGCCATCGTTTGGCTAAATATTGAGGTTTAGTTAATCTTTTTTTCATGGGTTAAAATCTTAATTTGGTTGTTTTTTAAAAATCAGCTTGATTTTAAGATATAAAAAACGATTTTTTTATCTTCTTCTTTCTATCGTGCATCTTATTTGTAGTTTTATTTAGTTTGTTTAACAGCCGAGTGTCGAACCGAGTGTCGAACGGCCTTATTTGGAACATTTTATTATAAAAATTCGGCTCGATTTGACTCGAAATTTAATTAGGATTATGAATTATTATTCGAGTCGAATCTAAATCTATAGACTTACAATTAACACACATCTATGTTTTACCAGATTGGTAATAAGTGCCAATTAGAATAGCTTCCTAACATCATTCTTAGAATGTTTACTAGTATTCCAATATTCTAAATATAAAAATGTGGCATCTATATCTAGATACACAATTATAAAAGTATCTGTACTTATATCTAGATACTATGTGGTATCTGTGTTTAGATACTTTTTAAGATACATTTGGATATACTTTTATTTATCGCTTTTTTATATTAAAATAAAAATTTTTCGATGCAAAATTCATTTTATTTCATATGGGCATATAATTTAAATAAATATATATTAAAAAATATTAAAACTAATATAATAAAAAATATATATAATATTAAAATTAATATAAAAATAGTATATAAATATTCATTAAATATTTTTTTAACTTAAATCTATAGATATCAGTTCAATATTGTGAAGGATATTTTTATCATGTAAAGGAATACGACGCCCATTAATAATAAAAAATACTACCATTATTGACGCCTAAAATTATTTTTAGCAAATTAATTTATTTAGAATTTTTAAAAATAATTTTATAAATATTCCCCTGACTTTTAATAAATAGTTTAATGTATAAAAATTTTTTTTTTAAAAAATGCTCGTTTTAAATGAGAATTTATTCGGAAGAACGATAAAAATAGGAGTATTGACATTTTTTTATTATTATATTGTATGGTAATTGAATGAGAGCAAATATAAAAATATTGTATATTTTGTGCTCTCATAATAAGACCTGTATATAAGTATGATAAAGAATGTATCTATATCTAGATAGGTTTTTAGATAATGTATCTGTATTTTAATCTATTTATAAATTATCTTCTACTCTACTCTACAGTACTGTATTCTATTTATTATAAAAGTATAACTAATTAGTTCACTTATTATTATTATTACATTTTTATTTATATATTGTATATACGAAACATAGAATTCTCACGATACAACTAAGAACCAATATTTACAAAATACGACTCTGAATATACTAATCTCGGGATCAAGGGATAAAAGCATAAAAATTTGGGACACGCATTCTGCATATTGCCTTTTTACATTAGTATAATTAAACTTATATAAATTAATTTAATTTGCAATGCGATATTATACTGAATTTATTGATTATCACGTGAGACTGGGGCTAATCGTGCCATTTTTTTAAAAATCTATTTTACCTTTCGAAGGACAATATATCAATCGTATCCTATAAATATATTTATAAGGCAAACCTATCCGATACTTTTTAAATCTGAGTAACTACTATACCTAAACATTACAAGTAAGGTAACTACTATACTATGTAAATACTTGCATTTTAGACAAAGTAACTATTTACTTTGAAGAGTAACTTTAGCAACACTAGTCATTATGAGATATATATATGACTTGAAACGATATCATCACAGCTAGCCAAGTGTCTAAATAAATAAACATGATCCATTTATATTTTATTTTAATGCATGTGCTAATATGTATAATATCGAAAATTTCATTCCAATTTCTACTCATTGATTATCTATAAAGATATATTTGTATATTTTGGTGACTATTCATATTTCTGTAAAGGTGCCTTTTAGGAGTCACGTGTTAGTTACTTCTCATTTTGTTTTACAAGTAACGTCGTTGCTAATTCTTTGCAAAATAAATGACAATAAGCCTTACATTTTTTTACCCCTACATCTTTCTAAAAATAATTGCTTGGCGCACTCATTTTCCTTAAAATTTGTTTATATTTTTTTAGCATGGCCACGATAACTGGATTCGGGGATTAGTCGTTCACCCTGGCGGTAAATACCTTTTGAGCGCCTCCGACGACAAAACGGTGAGAATTTGGGATATCGTCAACAAAAGATGCCTAAAAATGTTGGTAGCTCATTCTCATTTTTGTACATCAATAGGTAAATAATGACTAAATAAATATTAGACACCTATAGACCTTCATTTATAGCAACTAAAATTTGTTATATTTTTTGAAGGTAGGCTAGAATAATTAAATCAAAAAAAAATCCCGAGCGAAAAGTTATTTCTTCGAAACCTGTGCATCTGCTAAATACTATATATTAATGTTGTTTAACATCTCTTTTTAAGCCGATTTTTAAAAACGGCTAACTCAATATTTTATCCCGAAACATATTACGCAGACTTGAAGATTTTTCTCATAGATGGCACATAACGAAATCTCGTAGGCAATATTTTTTAGCCAAGCCGTTTTTAAAAATCGGCTCAAATGAGTCCAACACTACTATAAATTATTATTCCTGATTTTATTCGTTTTAAAAATGATTTAGTTTTTAACCAGGGATCCAAGCCCACTCGATATAGGATCAAACATTAATATAATAAAATTTCTTCACTTGAAAGTCCATAATCCTAAGTAGTTGTGCTTTAAGGATGAGACCTAACAAATTGAACACCGTCTAAAAAAAATTAATTTAAGTTGATTAAAAATTTAATTAGATTCACCTAAATTAATAAAAAGATATTTTATGATCTCTTAATACGCTGGATTTCCAAAATATATTATGACAATATGTAAAATGATTGGTTTTACATAGAGGATAACTAAACAACTTTGTTCGATAAAATTACATGTAGAAAAGAAAAGAACTTAATTTATGAAAATATAATTAGTTTTTAAAAAATTTGCAGTTTACCTGAGTATTTGTAAAAATGAATTATATTGATCCTATTAGCAGTTTACTCAAACCATTCCTATGTTTTAAAATCAAAAGAATTTAAAATTTCCCAAAGTCTAAAAATGAATTAACTTGCCAAAGGAAATACACCTAATAATTATTAAACTGCCCCTTTTTTAAAATACTACCCAAGTTTGTAAAAAAAACTAGAAAAATAATTAATAACTTGTCAAAAATTTGAGATAAATACCAAATGATTATATTGACCATTTGAAATAAATACTGCCCAAAATTTACTACTCATTTCTTATTTAAAAACTTGCTTGAATATTTTGGCCAATTTTATCGAGGCATATTTTTCTTGCAAAAGGTTAGAATCGGGTTTTGAACAAATCGATATTATTATTTTTAAAAGCCTAACCTGGAACATGTACTTTTATTTTTACCTGAACCGATATTCGCTACGGTTCTGGTAACCATTTTTTTAAAAACAATAACCACTTGTTTTGTTAAAAAAAAACTCCAAACATTTTACATTTTATAGTAAGCTTTCTTTTTTTTCTTAATCGAAGATTATACTCTTTTTATTTTACAATTTAAATTTATTAAAATTTTGTATTTTTTAAAAATTTTTATTAAATTGAAGATTTTCATAAAACAGCCCCATTTGTTGTAACTGGAAGCGTTGATCAGACCATCAAAATTTGGGAATGCCGTTAAAAGAAGAATATATTGTTTTTTTATATAGTAAATATACACATCCTATACTAAGTATATCTCAAAGTTATTTATTATATTAAATTTAAGTTATGTTACATACCGAGCAAAACATAAGTACTTAAATTGTATTTAATATTTATTATATATTTGTAAACTGATATAAAAAAATATATATTATATCTATAAATACACGTAAAATTTATAGGCGCTTTCAATACCGAAACACTATCATTACCATGTGATACTTAAGCATATTTTGATCATTTCAACTATACATGTGCTTTTATGTGTTAAATAAATTTAATATAAAATGATTGTCATATATTGTTACAAGGATATACCTACCCTCTTACACATTTTTTCATACATTATTGGAAATAAGGTCTCAGCTGCGGAAAATAAAATTTTTTTTACCGCTTATATCTTGTAAATTAATATAATATTATGTAACCTAAAATAAGTGAAAGTCAAAGTTAAATTTTTATGATACTTTAAACAATCTGTCCTTATATATGATGTTGTAATCTATAGTATTAAATTCATTTTCCTCAATACTTTGTCAGAAATAATAAAATTTTACTCATTTGCTGCCATGATTTTAGAAAACAATATTCACAACGAAAAGTTCGAAAATGAAGAAATTATGATTCTTAAGATAAATTACGTTGCTTAAACAAATAAAACAGTTACAAAAGCTGGCCTTTACACTTTCAAAATGGGACAAAAGTCTTATCTTATGTAACATGATACTATTTTCGACTTTTTCCCTAACCCTGATTCGAATCGAACTATATTTTGATTAGGTTCGACCCCTCTCCCTCTTATATTTTACCATTTAGGTTAGATTAGTGGACTTCTATCCGATATGATTTAAAAATTGAGCGATTTTTAAAACTTAATGAGATCAAGTTTTTTTTATAAAATATTAAATTTTATTTTCAATTCTATTCATGATAATCAAAGAATTATTGATTTTAAGAAAAACTGACACGAACATATTTAAAAACTAGATGAGCTACTAAATCCTGTCGGATCGCATTCTACTATGAATCCAGTTTTTTTAACCTAAAATTTAAAAAAATGATAGCCTAGTAGGTCTAGGGACCCATTGGTAGAATTGGTATAAAGTGATAAAATTATTAATTTTAATTATACTAGATTTGATAAGTGGTAAATATAATCAATCAATGCAACATTCTCCTATATCTAATTATATTCTCTTTTTAAATTGCCTAAGCCTTCTGTTATTGCTAAAGGAAATCATATCCATATGATACCACTTATTTTTTTCTTAAATTATATTTTATTATTTATATAGATAAAAATATATACTTTAATTATAATAAAAAAAATTTCAATACCTTTTTTCCTCACATGAAATGGTAACTTGATTACAGAATGTCTTTTAAAATATATTACTATTAATATATAATATAAATTTTATAATATAGTTAAAACCAATTTAAATTTGATTTAAAGAAAATATGCTTTCTCCTAGGTGGGCTTAATACTTAATAACCGTCTATTTACACGTCTTTTAACTATCGTCTAAATAGCCAAAAAAGATTTTTAAAAAAACGAAACAATAAAGAAATTGGAATAAAATACGAAAAATCACAATGCCACCAAATACTTAAAATAAACTTAGGGTTCAAATATTTTTTAGCCTATACTAAAAAGCAATTAAGTATCCAAATTAAGCCGACCTAGGACGCAAAAACGTGCAAAGTCAAAGGTTTTATAAATATAAAAATTAAGGTGCCGGGCTAAAAATTTTAAGTCGGTGGTCGTCCATAAAGCGGGTTCGGCCCGCTGTTTGCAATTAGATAGAAAAATTTCTGATCTGACCTAACAAATTATATATAAAAAATCAGGCAGACTATCGCGAATCTCTGACTTTCCTTAAAATTTTAATATACAACTCGGTCATTTAAATGGTATATATTTTGAATTCCAAGTTATTTAATTACCAAATAAATTATAATATGTTAATTTTTTTGTATATTAAGAGGTGTCTAACTGAAATATTAAATTCAAATAATATAGAAATTTACAAAAAATAAAACGAATTATTTACGAAATGATCCAATAACAAATGCACAATACTACAGATACCAAACACAATTTATAAGTATGTTATTGTAGAAATAGAAATCGGGAAAAAATTAGTGATATAATATATAAAAAATGTGATGACCTGTAAATTCTTATAAAAAAATTTCAGCCGTGGCGGACTTTAAGTAAAATTTTAACGGGACGGGCAATTTGTGCAAAAATTTATAACAGGCTGAAATGGATCGGGTATTGTAGACCTCAAATAATATCTAAATGACATAATGTTATAATAAATGTAAATTAGTATTTTTATGTATAAGATTGAACCCTCTATAGCACCCATTCTTTTCGGGTCCTACCTAGTGTTGTTAAACGGCTCGTTTTGAGCCGATTTTTATAAACGGCTAAATCAATATTTCATCCAGAATAATATTACGCAAGCATGAAGATTTTGTTTGTAGAAGGAACAAAGGTTTGGACATCTATTAGCGAAATAATGAGGCTTAGCATTAGCGAAATCATGAGACTTAGCAAATATTTATCCGGCTAAAATATCGAGTTAGCCGTTTTTATAAATCGGCTTAAAACGAGCCATTTAACATCACTAGTCCTACCAGATTCGAATAACCGATCCGAGTCTATTTTCCCCCAAAGATCCGAGTAATTCCATGCGACATTTTATTCTTAGAAATAAGATTCTGAGGGCAGATTAAAATTTATTTTTATTGGCTGAAGTATAATTAACAATTTTATGGTCATTTCTTGAAAAATAATAAAATTATAAATATTTTAAAAAATCATTTAATTTTTGTCGAGATTCGAATTATACCCACTTAAATTTTAATCCGAATATTTCCGAAAAAACGTTTTGCTTGGATTACGACACTCTTGTTGGATTTAAATTACCTTGCATTCACAGTTAGCGCGCTGCGAAGTTTACGAAATATGCTGTATTTTTGTATTCTTCGCGAATTCGCTCTAACTGTGAATGAGGGGTTAGGGATGGGTCCATGCTGAGGTTCTAGTGTGATTGTAACGCCAGTTACAATTAAAATATGTCAAAAAAATTAAAGATCTCAGGAGACCCCAATGAAGGATTTTACCTTTGTCGGCAGATTTCCAGCAATTTATTATGCATTTACTCTTCTCTGGGGTGATATGTATCCTTTTTTAAATATTTTTTTCTCTTAGTTCTTTTTATGTTTTTTTTCATAGATTATATGCACATATTTTTTTCAATTTAATTTTTAATATATTCTTATTTGTTTTTTGACATATATTTTTAATTCAAAAAATTTTATTAAAAAATAATAATAAATTTAAAAACAAAAAATAATTGAATCTTTTTCCAAAACTATTCGTTCTCTTAAAAATCAAAATTTAGTTGCCATCTCGAATAGTGCACTTGCTTTAAAAATAAAAGACAGACTATTATTTGATTTTTAATTTTTCAATGTAGAAATGGTCTCAGTTTTTTTAAATTTTATTTGTCTAGGTTTGGTCAGACACTCACTCCAAGTCAATTTAGAATTATTTAGCTAGATAGGATCACTTTGCTAAACCTGTCATGACTTCCCCCTAAAAATTAAATGAAATATAATATAACGATTAATATTTTAAAACATTTTTTTATATATATACAAATTAAATAAGTTTAAAAAAAATGAGCATAATACCGAAGTTATAATTACACCAAAAAAGGTTAAAGTTAACCTTGAATTACAAGGTTTTTTTTTTCTTATTTAAATATTTAAAAAAAGGATAAAAATTTCAAAGTTACCCTAAAAAAACAAACGAATATCTCTATGAAATTGGATATTTTTTCCAAGGTTTAACTGAAACTTTATAAATACCAACTTCGATCACTATCAACGATTTTAAAAAATTTATCTGTTACTTTTCATATTTTTCCCTGCCTTTTAAATAAAACTTACATTTTAGAAAATATTTTTTTAAATTAAGTAAAAAAAAATGCATAAATTCAAACCAACATTCCTGTCTACTTGCTTTCTCATATTGATATCAAAATTTTTCATAAATCACGTTGGTAAGTTCTCAAATTTATTTTTTCTTCTTTATTAAGCTTTTCTTTTTTGGAAGTTATCCATCAGACTTGACATTGAATTCTATATATTTTAGGAAAAAAATCTTAATAAATACAATAAGATTATTAACTGTTATTATCATATAGAAACCTATATATGTCCGTGTGTGAGAAGTATTCCCATGGATTGCATTGTTAGAAACTTAACTTTCATATATACGCAAAGAGGTATTATAACAAAATAAAAATATAACTCTTATACATTATACCTCTCATGATTCATCTCTTTTTTAATTTATGGACGCTCTAGAGAATAATAATATTAAAAAAGGCCATTTCAAGAGAATACGGTTTTTTCAAAGCGATTTTTGGGTTATGTCACCAGCAATTATATTTTTATTTCCAAACAAAGGTTAACAATTTAATATGATATTTTAAAAATAAATAAATCCAGTTCCCCTTTAAAAATCGTAAATAGAAAATAAACTGGTTTGATTTTAATAAAGATAGAATTGGCGACTAAAATAGGGTTCCGAATTAAAATATTATATTATATTTAAAAAAATTAATTCGACAAGTTAATGTCCTTTGTTTGGAAATAAATGTAAAATTGTTAGTATAGCATTAACCATAAACCGCGTTGAAAAAAAAAGTTCTGCCTGGAAATGGCCTAATGAATATTTTTAAAATTACTTATAATTTGGCTCAAGTGTCACTCTTTTTCAACAATGATTGAGTGCATCTATTTGTTCAGTCAGCCATAAACTCCTCTATACTAAATTTAAGAAAATGGTTGTTAAAGTCATTATATCTCATTCTATAAATATCTTAATTATTAAAATTCACCAAATAATTTTTTTTAAATAAAATAAAATATAAAATTTCCAGCATCGGGAGTGATAAATGGTCCCTGTTTTCAAGATGAACTTGTAACTTATACTCCATTTCACTGTTTCGCTACTTATCTAATTACTCAAGGATTAGCATCCCTTCGGCTCTTCCTTACTTTAGCGCTAGTAAAGAAAATACATATTCTTAGCTAATATATTTTTTATCATTATACTATACCGATAATTTTATTTTTTTATTATTATTATATTTATGATGACTGAAAATTGGCCTTCTGGAAATTTGGCCTCCAAAATCCTCCCCCCCCCCTATTTGCCACTCTTTTTCATAAATATTTAAGAAAAATAAGAACAATTGAATTACCGTGACAAAAATTT